ATCAGAGTACTCGTATATTAGCCATTTTTATGGAAATAGTGATTATGTGTAGCATGTGTTTTAATAACAAACAACAGATCATTATCCACGCACAGATCGTCTGATTTGTTTTGCCCTCTGAGCGAACAGTAATTGCACAAAGACAACCAATCTACCTGTACTCCATCTACTGTGGGATTTGAGGTAGATCGTTGTGGCATCGTTCGAGATTCGTTATATTATATTTCAACGTATTCGGTGTTCATACACCAGAGGGAAATTCAGACATATTTACACAGGTCTTTTCTTCTCTTAGGTTACCTACACAAGGTACGAAGTAGAGCAGACGATAGAGATGAAGATCTTTATTGGGGATAAGAACCGACCTTCAAAATATTAAGCGTATTTGTCACTGTAATGGAATGCCCTGTGGTCTAGTGGTCAATGTTCCTAGCTACAGATACAGAGGTCCGGCTTCGATTCCAGGCGGTACCCGATTTTCTGACAAGTAGTGGGTCTGGAACGGGGTTCACTCAGCCTCGTGGGGATAACTGAGGAGCTACTTGAGTGGCAAAGTAGCGGCTCCGGTATAGGAAACCGAGATTAAAGGCTATGGGGATTCGTTACGCTGACCACGCGACGCTCTCTATTTGGCACTAACTTCGGCGACAAGCGGCGGTCGCTCGGTCGGTATAGTTCGCTTGCGGACTAAAACCATGGAGTTTGTTTGTTTGTTTGTTTGTTTTTAATGGAATGCAGTCCAAGGGCGAAATTATGTGCTAGCGATGGCGAACATTCGAGTTATATTATCAAAGATCTAGTTGAATAACAAGCCTGTTTGTTTGTTGGTTACTGAAACACAAGAATATTATGAAGTGTTCTTCAACCTCCTGTCACTTCATCTCTCTTCGGTTCAAATATTCTCAACTACATATAGTGTCAAGGTTGCAAGTGCGTGAAGCTACAACTCTACTTAATTAAGTACTACTCTGTATTTGTCTCCTATGGACTCGTTTGCACTTCCCAGAATTCCTCTTGCTGATATACAGAGGTCGGATAAAAAGTAGTGGCAACACCTCTATAGTTCTGAAATGACTTTATTACCTGAGGTAAACACACTTACATTCCTTCAATCGCCCCCCCCCCCCATGTGTACCACATTCTGCCAAATTTGTGGAAGGCGTCGTACACCATCAGCACATCCACATCTGTTGATGTTCAGCAGTGACCGCCCTACAGCACGAATAATCTCCTCTCTTGTGTTGTAACGTGTCCCTCACAGTAGTTCTTTCATTTTGGCAAAGAGATCATAATCGGACGGACTCATATCGGGTGAGTATGGCGGATGTTGCAGTATCTCCCATCGCCAGCGGCGAAGGAGATCCTTGACAGCGTCAGCAGTATGAGCCCTTGCATTGTCATGAAGGATGATGGGGTTCGTTGTCAACAAGTGTCGTCGCTTTCTCTTGAGTGCTGGACGAAGATGATTATGCAGGAAATTGCAGTAATAGGCAGCGTTTACTGTCTGTCGTTGAGGTACAGTGTGGTGCAGTATCACTCCATCACTGTCATATGCCACAATGAATATCGCCTTCACATTACTCTGCGTAGGGAGCACTTTCTTTGGACGACGGGAGCCAGGATGCTTCCATTCATTTGATTGTCGCTTCAAGTGCGGTTCGTATGAGAGAGCCCAAGTTTCGTCCAGAGTGACGATCCTTCCAAGGAAGTTGTCACCTTCCCTCTGGTATCGGCCCAACAAGTCCTGTGCAATTGCATAACGTTGCCATTGTTGCACCTCGGACATTGTATGGAGAACCCAACGCGCTGCAATTTTGCGATATCCAAGAATATCGTGCAGAATGTGGAGCACGGTTTTGTGACATACACCTACCTCAGCAGCTAACTCCCGCGCAGCCCATCGACGATCGAAATCCAGCAAAGAAGCTGAATTGTGTGGTTGTCAACATGGGGTTGTCCTGAATGACATCCCTCCCTTCACGGAACAATTTCACCCATCGTGCCACTGTGGGATATGGCAAAGTAGCATCATCACCACCACATGCTTCTCGCAGTCCCTGATAACAGGTTTGTGCACTATGACCTCATGCAACTTCAATTTTTATCCAGGAGTGCTGTTCTTGTTTCATAAACATATTGTTAGGATGCTTGAACTGGGCGCCTGCACTTCAAGACGATGAACAATGCAACTCAATGAAACACAAACTGCACTACTTCAACTGAACTTCTGCTATCAGCTACAGACGGCGCTATTGCCACCTGACGCACATCTTTCATGTTACAGCAGTGTTGCCACTAAGTTTTATCCAACCCTTGTACATACACCCAATGGGGCGTACATGAAGAGTAATTCACGGCTTAATATCGTCACTTCAGGTATGATACCTTACGTCATTTTCAGTCAAAAAGTGTCATATTAAAGAAAGTTTCCATTCTGAGCGGTTACTGAGCATTGGATGTTTTAAATTCAAGAAAGGAATGGAAATAAATGGCACTAATTTTATGTTGGCAGCAGTGCATCAACCATAACATTGGCTACCCAGATCTCCAGACCTCAACCCGTATAAATTTAATTTTTGGGGTACATGAAAGTTGATTCTAACACACAGAATTACTTGATTTTTTCACTCTTTCCATCGCCTGGTATTCTAGAAAATAGAAAACGCCTACTAAATTGGGTCCTTTAGAAAGAGCTAACCTCAATCACTGGACCTCACTTGAGGACGGAAACAGATCCAATTTAAAAAACGTCGTGTTTTCTATTTTCTAGAATACCAGAAGATGGAAAAAGTCCAAAAACCCAGTAATTCTATGTACACAGAAGTTTTAGTGTACCGGCAAGAAGTGAAAACACGAGAGGCACTGCATTGTCGCACTGTGGATGCTGCACCCGGCATAAAGTAAAGACGTAAAGTATCGGTGAGAGTTACACACGCGATTCACAGATGAGGCAGGACGTGCACTGAGGCTGAGTGTGGGCATTTTGAATTGTCATTCCCCACTCAGCAACAACAATTTTATTTGTTGTACTGCGATGTGGAAAGCAAATGGAAAAACTACCACATTATCATTTGAAGGAGAAAGCTCTAGATCGCATTAAGTGGAGGAACTGTTTTGGAAGAGACTGTGGACCTGTCGTTCGACAGATTACTGACGAATGAATATATTTATTCTGTTAACTAGAAACCCGAGATTAACGGCCGTGGGAATCCGTTGCGCTGACCACATGACACCCTCTATTCGCAAAAGTTGGCATTAACTTCGCCGACAAGCGGCGGCCACTGTGTCGGTATATTTCGCTTGCGGACTACAGACCACGGAGTATGTAACATCCCATTAATGGTAAATGCGTAACTGTAGAAACTTCCACTTGTGCTCATGTGACATATAGATCTTCGTTATAAGCTCCTGACTTGAAGTCATGACTCGTTCTGTATAAGATTGTTAGAAGTGACAACTGTCAGCTTCCACTACCTTAACCGAGTATTGGGGCGGGCAACTTCTCGTTCAGAGAACCCTTTAGGATTCACCCGTGGAGGGTGATATTTGGGACCACTGTACCGGACTTAAAGACCCCTTTCGTGATCGGCAGGAATCACTCTCCAGCGTTGCGCATTTAAAATATTAATTTTGTTACAGCCAAATTTAAATTGGTCAGCACACATGTACCGGGCAACGCTCCCTCTAAGCCGTGGATGCAAGTGGGCAAGCCATGCTGTCTTCTGAACAGGAACTGGGTTGGCTTGGGAAACCCGGGAGGGAGCGGGCAGCGATTTTCGAAAAACGTCCATCACAGTTATTAAAATTATAAGCTCACAAAAATAACCAAAAGTGTGGTTTATCTTCTTCAGCTTTTTTGTATTAATTCAACTCGACTAGGTACTAAACCAGCTGATGGAGTGGGTAAGTCTGACGCTCGTGCGCTGCAGTGACGGCCGCTCACTCACGTAGCGTAGAGGGAATAATAGTACAGGAATATTTCAAACCCATAATACCGTCCTGTAGAGGTTACTGAGTTAAAGGATCTTGAGTTCTAATCACATAGCGGTAATAATCTTTTCTGCTTTGGGTCTCCTACAGTCAGGACGATTTCCCAGTTTCTGATATGGCCTGGCAAGTCATATGTAGGCCTGTCAAATCAGATAGCAAAATTACATAATTACGTGGAATAGATCAGATATGCGTACAAAATTTTGATGTGGAAACACTAAAGGATGATACCTAGTCATAGATGGAAAGATATGAAACAAGTCTTAAAATAAAAGGTGGAACAGAGTGACCTCTTGTGAAGGCGGCCATTAAATTTCGGGGTTTGTAAATGGCTGTGAATTCGTCGAGTTGCTGACGGACTCTTGGATTTTCACGAAGGACTCTGCTACAGTTAATTAATAACTGTCCTCCAACGAAGGAAGGCAAGGCAAATGGCGAGTAGAACCGGTCGATCTTGTCCATTATAATGTTCATTTAAGTCCATGTTGAGCTTCTGTGTACCACGGCCAATGGCAATAATGGTCTGCAAACCATGTTGATGTTATCAGCTTGCATAGTACAGGAGGACCTATAATTTCATCGCCCTGTCTTAGTTGGAGGATAGTAGACACGTGTCCCTTTTGTGGTGAAGATTGAAGTGGATCAAGGATTTTCCGTCCTCCATTAGCCTTGCAGGAAAGGACGCGTCCCTTCTTCGTCATGTGTAATCCGAAATGACAGAGGAATTCTAGACGCAAAAAAAAAAAACAGCATAGCAATTGGCTCCATTCAGAACGAAATGGTTCTCAAAAGACATGCGTTTCAACCCCACACCATCGTAAAGGGGATGAAGAAACAGCGAGGGGGTATATAATTTTTACGCCCTGTGAATTTTAATAGTTATCTCTGTCAGTGGTGCCCTCCGATGGCGTCGTATCGTTTGTGCGCCGACGCTTAAACGTGGGGACATCATGGAGGGGATGGTTCTCTGGAGGTAACAGAACACACAGGCAGTCTCGCTGGGAGGGCAGACGGGAAGGATCGAGGAAGCCAGGGACTCAAAAGTGGTGCATGAGTTCCTTAGCCTTTGGCAGAAGAAAAAAGCGACGACGACATAAAGAGGACGAAACAACGAAGAGATTCTTGTGTCCAGTGACAGTGCGCGGTCTGAAGTAATCGGGAACCTGACAAAGCATGGCCTTCCTTCGCACTGAGTCGAAATATCGTCGTTCTTTTGTTTCTGAGTCTCATAAAACCGACGACAATGTGAATGTGGTGTTTACAAGTGTCCATCTTCAGCATCCCCCTGCTGGTTCTCTCCTGCAGACAGAGTTGCAGTGATCAAGGTAATGGCGTCGGTATTTCAGTTTTCTGTTTTGGCAGGCAGACTACTGTGACATACTGATGACAGAAACGGCACTCTCTTGTCATGTTATCGCCATTAAATTAGCTGCTTCGAGCTCATTCTCTGAGCAAGCAGTACACAGATCAAACGATCTAAAGGCGCATAAGCCTACTATTTACGTAAGCCTAATTATACGCAGCCATGTTAAGAGGCCCCGTTGATTAGTGTCAGTATTACAGTTCCCCTGGAACTCAAGTGACGAAGTATTATAGTATCAATGACAGCGTCTAGTTCCACCAGTCGTCACTGATTTTAAATAATAAAAATCACTCACTCATGGAGCTGAGCCCTTCTTGAGAAGCTGCCAATGGTGCAGCTACTCAAGAACTTCCCAGCATTTTATAGAACACGAAGGTTCATTACCATGTTCATAAAATCCCTCCACTGGTCCTTATCCTGAGCCAGATCAATCCAATCAATACCATCCCATCTGTCTAACATCTATTTTAATATTGTTCACCAACCTACGTCTTGGTCTTCCCAGTGGTCTCCTTCATTCCAGGTTTCCAATCAATATCCTACATGAATTCCTTCTCTCACGCATTCGTGCTACATGCCCTGCCCATCTCAACCTCCTTGTCTTGATTGTGAATAACAAAAATAGAATAACAAATTTGTCGTTGTAGCGACAACAGGTTACGTGAAGACGAGAAAAACACGAACACCCGAAATGTCTTATGCATCAAATATACCAAAGAAAATGAAAAATTTCAAACGTAATAATGATACACTCACTTTGCAGCCTGTGTCGTGGGACTAGAGGTTATCGTACCTAAAATGCATGCATTTTATCTGTACTTATACCTGTAATTTGCTCCTTTGTGGACGACAGAATTATTGATTTTAAAATGCGTATCTGCAACAGTATGACTAGTACGTCTGTAGTAGGTTTGCAAACTAAATTTAACCATTTAAATTCCAGTGGTTACTATATGTACCATCTGTCTCAGTACGAAGATCTCTGCAGTTTGCTCGCAGAATATTTTGTATGTTATGTATGATTTCTATACAATCAGAATATTTCCTTGGACAGCATGAACTGGTTAGTCTGTGTAGTGGAAAGGGTGTGTGTTATTTGTGACGCATGGGTTGAATTTATTAATAATATTTAGACCAATTTCGGATTTCAAATACAAGAGCTTTATTTCAATTAAAATGAACACAAGAATATACAAAGCTGGTACCGCTACTATGAGAACGGGTCTCTTTGTAATGTGCTCTGTTTCGCGCAAGGATACAAAGTGACATAATAATATCCGTATCGATTCAGAATGTTTTAGACCGCAGAGATATCCGTGAGACCAATGGCGTATCCACAAAGAATGACGCAATAGACATGAGCGGATTATTTAGTCTTATTCAGCGTAACTAATTGATTGGAAGTAATTTAAATTGAAAATCTGTGACTCAGGAAAAGCCTCGTGCCCCCGAGGTGCTGAGATGTGACTTGTGGCTAATGTTGACAGGTACCGAGTTGGCCTGTGCCGATGTTACGCAATAACTTGCACCCTCCCGCCGCCCTGCTACTAGTCCACACCTACGGCAGTAACTGAAACGTCAGCTGCGTCATTTCTAATAGCTTCTGACGGTGCTAGAAGCTTTTTGCACATTTTTTATCGTCCGGTATTCCGAACAGAGCATATGTTTCGGGAACTGGATTTGTTTCCATCTTCGAGGGAAAAGGTCAGGGGTTTAGTGATTGATTTCTAACTGGCGCAATTGAATATATATGTAGAGGCCTGACTTCCAGGTTGCCCATGAGGAGAAATATGGCAAGAAGCAGTGGGACAGTGGTTGCAGCTGCACTGTGGGACAAGGGAAGGGTAACACATTGCAACTAAAACCCTGTTATAAACCGCACACACCCTACAATCCTTATCTCAGTGGGCTCGACCAAATCCACTGTGCATTTCCTGTTGAAAGGCTAGGTGTAAATAAATGTACTGTACCTCCCCAACATTTCACATGAGGAAGGAAAGAGAAACATTTTCGAAACGTTGATCCGTCTGGAGAACTAGACAGTGGACAATATACAAGTGTATATTTACCTTCGTATCTACTGATGGGGATGTTTGGTGTACAGAGGGGTGATTATGCGCGCCCAGCAGCAAAAGTAAAGCGAAGTGAGGACGCGATGTTCGGTCCAAGGTAATGTCTCAAAGTACTGTCTCCAACTTCGGGGTTGAAAATTCTTATGTGATGAAGATGGAGGCAGAAATGTTGGCGCCTGTCTAGCAGCTACACTGTGTGAGGTCCTTATTACCGCCGTGATGACCTCAGATATGCAACGCGTCCGTATATGAGCGACGTCGGGACGCTTCACTTCACTTCACTTCACTTCACTGCATTTTTTTTTCTGATTTCCACCCCACTTTCACTTCGCCTAATTTATCATTTTCCTAATCCTTTTCCTAAAATTACTTGGTTTACAGGAGAGAGTCCCTAAAGCATCCGAAGGTAGTTGGTTCCAGATCTGTATTGTTCTATTTACAAAGGAGTATTTTACGATATCTGTCCGTTGCTTTCTGCTCCTAATTTTCTTGTCATGATCAGTCCCGCTCAGATAGCATGGCCTTTGTAATCTATCACCTATAGTCTTCAAAGCCCGTTCTCCCGCGAATGCTTTGAAGAGAGCGCATATGCGAGCTATCTGCCTGCGCCATGTCAAGGTTCCCCAGTTCAAATGGTTCCTAGGATGTGCAAATTTAGCCGCTTTCTTTTGCACCCGGTCTAACGCATTTATTTGTCCCTGCCTCTAAGGATCCCAGCAAGCCGCCCCACATTCCAGAATCGGACGAACTAAAGATGTGCAGGCTAAACATTTAGTGTTGCTATTTCCCTATTTTAGAATACGCATTGTAAAACGAAGTGACGTCCAGAATTTTTCACCGTGTAATTAACTTGATCAGCCCAACTTATATCGCTACGTAAAATTATTCCCAGATATTTACAACTGCTTGCTTCAGGAATTACTATGTCCCCTAACGAATAATTTAGTGGTTCCGTCACTCGGGCTCTCGTGAAACAAACTGCCTTACTTTAAGTTGGATTAATTGTCATCGCGGTTCCAGCCGCCCATTCCCCCAGTCTGTTCAGACCTATTTCCAACTTTTTCATATCTTTATTACTTGTAATTTTCCTATATACTATGCAGTCGTCTGCGAAAAATCTAATAGTTGACTCAGTAATTCTCCAAATAACATTTTCGTACGCAAGGAACAGCAG